AAAAAACAGAAAGTGAGTAAGTGCCAAAACTCTGAAGCAGGAACAGGTTTGTCATTCAAAGACTACAGCTCAGCATGAGTGGGGTGGAAGGGGACACTACCTCCTCATCAAGCCACAGTAAGAAGTTCGAATTGTATTCTAAGGACAAGCAGTGGAAGACCATTTTGTGTTTTGAGTGTTTTAAGCAGGGAGACATAAGATGTGACTTGTATTTTAATAAAATCACTTTGGGTGTATATGGAGAATAGATTTGGGGGAGGAAAAGGAAGATGCAGAAAAACTAGTTAGTAGGTTACTGAAGTTGTCCAAACTACGGATGATGGTGGCTTAGGTTGTAGTAGTAGAAATGGGGAGAATGGCCAGATTTGGAACAGATTTTGAAAGAAAAGTCTGTAAGAGATGCAGATCAATTGGATCTGAGAAGTTGGAGAAGAAGAATATTGTTAAAAGCTAACATTCACAAAGTACATGCTTTGTTCCAGAAATTGTTCTACATACTTTACATGTAGTAATTTATTTAATCCTTACAACAATTTTACAAGATCAGGAGAGATTATAAGAAACTAAGAAACAGAGGTACAGAAAGTTTAGGCAACTGCTCATAGTCTGAGAGCGGAGATACAAACCTAAGAAATCAAATCAATACAGTACAGCCTCTCCAAAGTAGCACAGTTGTAAAGAAGATTCAACACCATTGCCTTGGGCATTAGATAAATGGCACTGCCCTTGGAAGACTGGAGAAGAAACACATTTGGAGGAGGGATGAGAAGATGTAAATCCAGATTTCTTTTCCCACCATGTTAAGTCTGAGGTATCTACAAGACATCCAATTGGTGATACCAAAGATGTAGTTAAACATACGGATTTCCATTTGGTGGAGAAGTCAGAGCTTAGAGCAGCGGTTCTCAACCTGTGGGTCGCGACCCCTTTGGGAGTCGAATGACCCTTTCACAGGGGTCGCCTAAGACCATCGGAAAACAAAAAGATATTTACATTACGATTCCTAACAGTAGCAAAATTACAGTTATAGAGTAGCAACGAACATAATTTTATGGTTGGGGGTCACCACAGCATGAGGAACTGTATTAAGGGGTTGTGGCATTAGGAAGGTTGAGAACCACTGGCTTAGAGGGACATGGGATCAATGTGATTAACTGATAGGATTAATGCTACATACAACAGAAAACATCACTAGGGAGAGAATGAACATAGGAGGACTGGCTATCTAGGACAGAGCTCTGAGGAACTCCTTTGAAGCTGGGAGGGAGAAGAGCTCCAGCACAGGTGAACCTGGGAAGCAGTCAGAGAAAAAGGGGGGAAACCAGAATTATCACTGAAGCCAAGAAGAGATAATGTTTCAAGAAGGATGGGGTGGGCTACTCTACTAAATGTTGCTGAGAGGTCAGGAAATGTGGTAACAGAAAGTGACCAATGGATCTGGCAAAATGATGACTAGTAAGCTTGATAAAAGTAGTTACTCTGAAATGGCGAGGATAGAAGCAAGCTAGATAGAAGTGAATACAGAAAAAAACAAACAAAAAAACAAAAAAACAGATGAGAAAGTAGCAACAGCTCCTGTGGACAATTATTTGTGAAAAATTTACAAAGAAGGAAAACAGAATGAAACAGTAGTAGCTAGAAGAGAACAGGGTAACAGGGTGTTTTTCTTAAGATGAGATCCACTAACTGGAGGACTTTTGTATGTTTATGGCAATAATCCAGCAGATGATCTCTAATTCTTTTTCCAACTCTAAGTATCAAGCTAAATATTATACAGTAGTTATGTTAAAGTAAATTTATTTTCCTTCGGACATTATTACACATTATGCTGGAAAATATTTTGCCTCTTCAATAAAATCAATTAGGAATATTTCTAGGGGACTTCCATATCCTTTTGGGAATTTCAAAAATTAATTTATTCTAAAACACAACAATATTTAAAAATATACATACTGTGGCTGTGCTATACTCAAATCACAAAACATAATCAGGATGAAAATCTAATGTGGTCATAAAAAGAAATGCTATGATTGCCCATATCATAGACTACTTTTTTAAGCTATAATTCTTTATGCTTAATTATGTAACTTTCCATCAGCTACAGCTATTACCCCTTTAAATGTATTGTAAATAAAAGAGCTTAAAATTTTTAAATAAATTTTTTCTATCACTTAACTGATTTTTATTCTAGGTAAGTCCCACCTGTAGCATGACAAAATATCCTTAAAAGGGACTGACAGCATATCAAGTAACAAAAAAAATCATTGCTTACCACATCCACTGAGACACATGGTTACTATTTAAAGTCAAATAATTAATAACAATTTGCATATAGTAAATCTGCATATGTGTTGATCATTCTTATACAAAGTAGGCATTACTAGAACAAAAACAATATTTGCTAAAACTAAAAGTACAGCAACACATGTAACTACCAGATGGTAAGACTGTGAAGATATGGAAAAGGCCTACTATTCATTAACTTGAGGAAATAAGAGATGGTAGAGATGGATACTGTTGGGGTGTATCTGTGGCTTCATTCTCAAAATTTTAAGTCAGTTAATTAAGTTTCTATTCATTTTCTATTCTTGGTTCTAACACAGAGAATTAAGAAACAACCACAAAAATTTTCATTAAAACCAATCACTTCCTAGAAACTTGCCCATTCTCCCACTAAAAGCACATCACTTCTTTTATAAATTATTTTAAAACTGAACCACAACAAAGCATGCCAGAAATACTATACAATCATGTACCAATAACATCTCTTCTCTGTTTATGTCACCTCAGAATGGCCTCCTGTCACCATCCAACCTGCTGTTTTCCCCGATGGTCTCCATCACAGTACCCTGTTAATTTTTTTTCATTACACCTGTAACAATTGCTAATTATTTGTTTGCTTACTTGTTTATTGTTTGTTTCTTCCCATTGGACTGAAAAGCAGAAAAGCATGAATGTTTTAATCACCAAAGTATAACCACTTCCTGCTTAAATACTTGGTATTAAAAAAGGATGCCCCCAAAATGTTTAATTAATGTGAATAAATGAATTTTTTTAAAGTTCATCAAGATTACTTGGGAACAAGATCCAATAATAGCTGAAGCATAGAATATAATTTTCCAGTTATACATCTTATTAAAACAAATATCATCTTAAAAATAGCTTTGTTCTTTAGTCTGTTAACATAGCTAATTATATTGATTGACTTGAATGGTATACCAGCTTTACAACACCAGGATACACTGTTCTTGGTCATGATATATTATCGTTTTTATATACTGCTGCATTCTCTTTGTCAGTATTTTGTTGAGGATTTTTACATCTATGTTAGTGAAGGATGTTGGTCTTCAGTTTTTGTTATTATGGTTTGTCTGGTAATGCTGGCCATAAAATGAGTTGAGAAGTATTCCCTCCCCCTTCTACATTTATGTATAACTGATATTATTTCTTCCTTAAATGGTCATCTTAAGAGATGCAGAAAAGTCGTTTGAGAAAATTCAACATTGATACATGATAAAAACTCTCATCAAACTAGGAAAAGAAAGGAACTTTCTTAGCCTGATAAAAAGCATCTACCAAAACCCTACAACTAACATCTCTAATGACGAAATATCAAATGTTTTCCCCCTAACATCTGGAAAAAGACAAGGATGCCTCTCTATCTCTATGCCATTCAATGTTGTATCGAAGGTCCTCACCAGTGCAAAAAGAAAAGAAATAAAGAAATAAAATGCATACAGATTGAAAAGAAATAAAAGTCTATTCAGAGGATATGATTGTCTATATAGAAAATCCATGGCATCTAAAAAAAAAGCTACTATAATAAGTAAATTTAGCAAGCAGCAGGATACAAAGTCAACATATAAAAATCTGTATTTCTATATATAGCAACGGACAATTAGAAATTAAGACTTTAAAACAGTTATCATTTATAATAGCCCCCAAAATCACTAAATACTTAGGTATAAATCTAACAAAATGTGTGCAAGATGTACACGCTGAAACTACAAAACACTGTTGAAAAAAATCAAAGTAAATAATAAGATGTACCATATTCATGGATTGCAAGACTCAGTATTGTTAAGATGCTAATTTCCCCCAAAATGTAGCTATCAATTTATGCACACATTCACCATCAAAGCCAAATAGGACTTTTTGTAGAAACTGCCAAGCTGATTCTATTGTAAAGTTTACACAGAAAGGTAAAGTAACTAAAATAGACAAAACAATTCTGAAAAATAAGAACAAAGTTGGAGGATACATCCTATTTAATTTCAAGACTTACTATAAAACTACAGTAATCAAAACAGTGTGGTACTGTGAAAGAACAGATACATAGATCAATGAAACTGAACACTCCCCAGATATATGGTAAACTGATTTTTTACAAAAAGTGTAAAAATAGTTTTGGATTAAGTCTAAGAGAAATATGCTTCTTTCCTATGGCATTAAATTAGAAGCTGCAAATACTGACTTCTTCAGCCTGAAGATTATTCTCACTTTACAAAGTGGTCAAAATGTGTTAGGAAAAAACTGAACAGCAAATTTCAAAGGGGGTAAAAGAAACTTAACACCAATAGGAAATGCCACCATAAGAATAATATAAAAGATACATGTTGGGTTTTGAGCTTTTTCAATATTATTTTTTTTCTACATTATAAAGAGATAAGAGTTGGGGAAATAATAGTCGTTTCAAAAGCATATGGTGAACCTGAATAAAAAGACAACGGGTTTGCTGCAACATTAAATTATTTCTATCTATTTTCCTTATGTAAAGAAGTTTCTACAAGCTTTAAAAACCAAAAGGCAATTAAATACGTGATGAATCCATATTCCTTGGTGATGAGAAGGAAGATTGTGGGGGGGGGAGGGGAAAGTCTATCAAATAATAAACTAAGAGGGCAGTGAAAAGTAAACTAGCTGTTGGCAATGTAAGACAAAATACACCTGAGCAAATCAAAAGTTTATACCTGGTAGCACTTGTTCTTTTACTCGAGTGGCTGTGAGATGTTCCCTTTTCCCTCGTTAAACTCGAACCTCCAATACACAGGCGAACTTTAAGGGTTGTATGTGGCAAAGAATAGTGTGGGAACTATTACACTGAGCTTTCTGTGTTATAAAGGCAACTAAATTCCAGCTTTAAGAAACTGGATGAGAAAGGGGGGCGTGGCGGGGAAGAGAAGAGACTTGATGGGGCAAGAGAAGATGATTTCATGGTGCAGGCGGCGGATGAAATTACAAGGACTGGGTGGGCGAGTTTATAAAGCTTGGAGTCAGGCAGTGTAGACAAATTAGTCACCCAGAAGGTATAGGGGTGAGAAAATTATGGGATCGGCACGTGCAGGAAGCACTAGAAAGAGGGAGTGAGGAACAGGAATACAGAGTGAAGAAATCTCTGAAACCCCGAGACCCCAGAAAATGTGATGACGGAGGGATGGGACCAGAGGAAGGGCTGAGACAGCTGGGAGCATCTCCAGGAGCCAGGTGGGAGAGGGACAGCCGTAAATAATAACGCTCGCAAGAGGGACCTCCCTGGAATTAAATGCCAGACTCCTAGGGAGCGTGGAAGTGTAGATGGCCAGAGAGGACTCCAGGGTCTCAGGCGCCAAGGCACTTCACTCACCTGGTTAGTGACCTGGAAACGAAACAGAGAACAGGATTTAGAGACAAACTGCCTTGAACTAGCTGCAGCAACCCGGTTCCCTTCGCCCCTGCCCGCGGCCCCAGGCCGAGATCAAAGCTGCGCTCACCTCGGGATTGGCCTCCAGCGGTAGCCAGCGATGACGCTCCATGGCCGCTCCGCCGGGCCACTCTGCAGGTCTGACAGCCGTCGCCGTCGCAGTCGCGGCCGCTTCCGCCCCCGCGCGCCTTGACCTGGGATCGTCCACCCTACCGCCCTCTGGGAGGGGTGCTGAAGGACAAAGAAGAGGTTGACAACACCCTAGCCCCTTTCTCATTCTCTGCAAAACCACACGTAAAGTTTTATATTTTAAACTAAGGTACACTTGGAGAGGAAAAGAATAAGAACCACCTCCCTACTGCAGTAGGTAAGTATCTGAATCCAGAGGTTGCTCCCCCTCACGCTTGGATTCTTCCTATCCCAGCCGAGCACTCCCGTGCTACGCATGCGCCTTCCGCTGATTTGGGACCGCGTGCTCGCTGGCGCCCCCCCATTCCTGCAGCGTCAGTCGGAGGCGCTAGGGGGCGCACCACTGAGTTCCATTCTGAGAGGTAGGGACCGGGTAGCTGCCCATCTGAAAGTCCCAAGACCAGAGGACGCCTGGGAGTTGTGCCCCAGGAGCCCCTGTGTCAAGATGCAGAAGTGATGTGCTGACCTTGTCTGGTCTGCTATTGCAGTGGGAGGGCGGGGCATTTCTATATATCTACTCAGTTACATTTGACAAAAAATGTCAAGTACCTATTATGAGTCAGACGTTATGCTAAGTGTTGGGTACACAAAGCTGAGCTTTGTAAGCGTGTAAGAGGTGGACAAAAGAAAGAAGAAGAATAAAGTGGGATACATATGTGGTAGTGGCAGCATAAAGTATGGTGGAGTTACAGAGATGTGTAGTTAAAGGGGGAAGGGAGTGTCCAGAAGGCTTCCTGAGGAATGTGGGCAGCTGCAGTGAACCCTTAACAGAGACTGATGTTAGCCGAGCAGGTGCCCTGAAAGAAATATGCATTGTGACTGCAGAACCTGGAAGATTGAAAGGCAGCGGTTAGAGGTGATGCTGGAGAGATAAGCAGGGACAAGCCAGTCAAGACATTTGTGCTTCATCTTGAAAACAGCAGGGAATCATTGAACGATTTTAAGCACGATTTTCATATCTCTAGTCCACCAGACTGTCAATTTCATGAGGTCCGCAGCAGCATCTTTTTAAATTCTTCACATTGTTTCCCCAAGGCCTAGCCTAGTGCCTGATACATAGTAGATGCTCAATAAGTATTTGAGGAATGAATGGAATAATCAGATACACAGAAACACCATTTGTCAATAATGTAGAAAACTTGCAAGAATGAAATGATGAGAGACTTAATTAATGCAGTAGCCATGAAGATGGAGAGGCAGGAACAGATGAAAGACATACTGTTTTAAAGGGGTACCCTTTGATGAGCAGGAATTGTCAAGGGTAACTCCAAAGATTTGACCTGGGTTAGAGTGTATATTACTAGTCTGCACCTGATAAAGGGCATTCAGAGACAGGAGTAGAGAGTAAGAACAAGTTTAGTTTATTATGGTGAGCTTGCCTTTCTTGGGAAACTTCCAACTCTCCCATTCATGCTTTTCTGGCCGCTGTTCTTTGACCTCCAAGGAATTTCCAATCTCTGACTCATCTTTTCCTTATCTATCTGATAGCTTGCTGCTATCCCCACCCGAGTGTGATTTGGTAAATCTGAAATGTCCAGCTCATGATGGGCAGCTGTAGTTGCATAATACTTGAGTTACATGGCCTAGTTCCCTGTGGCATGCCAGGAGCTGTTTTTCAAATGACTTGCTGTCAGAGGAATGGCCTTGCTCCAGAACTCTGAGGCTCTGCACTGTGACTCTCCTGTTAGGGCTTGCCTGAGACTCCACACAGCATCCTTAACCATCATGGACATCTCGAGCATGACTGGGTCTGCTGAGACATAGGCCCAAACGGCAAGGGAGCTTGCATTCCAGCTTAGACTTACTACAGAACACTCTGTGGCTCAGAGACCCACTCAAACTGGCAGCTGTCCACGTCACGCCATGGAAGTGTTGTATCTGTATTCCAAGTCTGGCATATGCTGCCTCCAAAAGCTAATGAGGCCCATCAAGTGCTCTGACTCTTCCCAATCAATAGGAAATGTAAGGCGCAACAACTTATTCTTCCCCTTAGAGAGGTTGTCCCAGCATGCTCCCAGACTTTTGGGCCCATGAAACCTTATTAATGTAGTAGGTCCCTAATCTTTGTAGGGTTTAACTCCCCCTCCACCCCCACCCCCAGTATGGATGTACCTACCATCACATCTGAGGGCAGTGCTTCTCAAACTTCAATGTGTATACAAACATCTGGGAAATCTGAAATGCAGATGTTGATTCAATAAATCTGAGATGGGGCCCAAGATTCTGTGTTATTGGCCCCAATGTTTTAACCCTCATTTTTATCCACATCTTTTGCCATATAACTTTGAAGTTTTTCCTACTTAGGGGCAAAGTAGTGTCGATACTCATTATTCATGGATTCTGCATTTTGAAATTGCTTACTTACTAACATTTATTTGTTAATAAATCAATAGCCCCAAGTCAATATTCATGTCACTTTTGTGGTCATTCACAGACATGGGTGAAGGAGTGGCAAAAGCCTTGAGTTCCCAGCTGAAGTCAAACAGGCGATGCTCTACCTTCTTCTTTCAGGTCTCATGCTGGAAACAAGTGTCCTTTTTGTAGTCTATTTAGTGCCACACTTTTTGCATTTTTGTGCTCGTTTTAGTGATTTCATTGTATATATGTATGGCCCAACCATTGTGCTGATGTGTTAGCTAGTGTTCCTAAGTGCATTAAGGCTGTGATGTGCCTCATAGAGAAAATACATGGGTTAGATCAATTCCTTCAGGCATGAATTATGGTGCAGTTAACCGTGAGTTCAATATTGATGACTCAATAATATATGTCAAAGTGAGATGTCTTTAAACAAAAACACATAAAACAAGGTTTGCATTGATCTATTGATGAACGTGTGGCCAGAGGCTCACAGAAACCTAACTTGTATTTCTCCTGGGAGTAATAGTTCAGTATTTACTAATTCAGAGTTCACGGTGAGGTTATAGATCATAACTACCACAAATAATGAGAACTACCTGTACATTTCCCGACTCTTTGACACTGAGTTCAGCCATGTGACTTGTTTTGGTCAATCAAATGGGATGTGCCATAAGGGTGTGCCTGTTCCAGGTCTGAGCCTAAAGGAGCTTGTGTTTCTGCTTGCTGTCTTGCACTTCTACCATAGCTGTGAGAACTGCTTGTGCTGGCCTGCTGGTCCCAGAAACAGAGAGATGGATACAGCGGAACCACCTCAGCTGAGCCAAGTCTAGACGGGCCAACCCACAGCTAAGCCATACACGTAAGCTAAATAAATGTTTGCTTGTAGTATGACATTGGGGATGTGTGGGCTTTTTAATTTTTATTTCTATTTTACATGGCAAAAGTTAACTGCTATACCTGACAGAAAATGTTCAAATGAAAAGGAGTATCAGCTAATTGCTGCGCCTGCCCCAAATTCTTTTTCTGTTTTTCCTTTAAAAAAAAAATCTGTAGCCTGGGTCAGGGCTGGTCGGCTCCGCCGGGCTTGGTGCCCCCATCCGGGTCGGGGTAGGGCCACGGTCCCCGAGCAGCACTCACCGGGTTCAGGCCACAGTGCCGCCTCCGCTGCTGCCAGAGACGTGCAGCCCGCAGTTCGCTGTGCCGACTGCTCCGGAACAGCGCCGCCGCTGGGGCGCTCCGGGGCTCCTCTGCCTGGGTCGCCGCCGAAAGGAGCCCACAAAACTCTAATAACCAAAGACAAACGTGTAGTTTTACGAGTACCTCCAAAAAAAATTTAACATGTACATGTTATTGCAACTTTAATTTGTTAGTGAACTTTTTAATTATGTTAACTACAATAGGTGAGATGTTATTTTAACTATGAAACAATAATATATATATTCACACTTGATTCAGGTTTTTACACTTAATAGAAACTTTGACATTCCCTATATATTTGTTTGATCCTCACCACAGTCTGAAAAGTAAGCAGGTGAGATAAACTTTTCACCATATTACAAACAAGATAACTGTGGCTTGACTAGTTGAAGTTGTTTCCCAAGGTTGTGCAAGCGGCAGAACGGAACTTCAGCCTAGATTTCTACAGCCAGATTTAGGCTTCTTTTCAAAGCAGAAAAGAGGCAAGAGCAGCATGATGCTGACAAGCCAGGGAATGGTACCCAGAGAGCTGGGGACTGGACAAGGCTAAAAAGAAGTAAATAATCTGTAAATTACTCTGGGGGAACAAAATCTGCCTCTATTACGGTTCAACAGTTAAATAAACATTTCTTATATATAGGACAGCGACTTTAAAATACATGTGTCCTGAAATGAGTAGAAGTTTAACAGAGAATTGGGGGTCTTGAATGTAGTGTGTTACATATCCTGTAAACTTTGTCAGTGCCATATTAACAGGGTGGAAAAGGATTGTTGTAACAGCAGGTGCCGCAATTCCTCTTAGGGATGAACTGTCTATTCAGAAAAATTTCACACTGTTGATGAGCCACTTAGGTTGGAGACTGAGACCGAGGACATCAGCCTCAGAGGGAGGACAAGCAACAGCAGATCACTTCATGAGAGAAGAATGTGAGGAGGGTTGGAGAAGGAGGGAAGGAAAGAGGAAGAAAGACAGAGGGAGAGAATGAAGGGGTAAATAAAAGGGGGGAATAGTGAGGAGCATGAAGAGCCTGTAAGAGGGAGAAACCCTAGGACTCAGTGGGAGGTCAAGATATTTCACTTTATTTTCATTGATCACTAATAAGTTTGAACATTTTTCGGGTTGTTATTGGCTATTACTTCACAGTCTTTTCATCCTCCATCCATTCTAAAATTCTTTCTCAAAACTTCTGTTGCATTTATTAACTATTCCAGGGTTTCCCAACCTTTTCCATCACATGACACAGATAAAAATAATAACCCATGCACATTTATTAACTTTAACATTGACGGATTGATTTTTGTGGTCGTCAAAGAATATCAGCGTTAGTTGCCATTTCCTACTTGACTAAACTCATAGTTTTATTTTCTTAGCAACTGATGAAAATTCAACAGCTCCTGTTCAAAAGCAGCGGGAAGTTTTTGACAAATGGATGTTTGTTTGATGTCTTAACAAAAGTACTTGTGT